TTCCACAAAGCTGCGATTGGTCTCATCAATATAAAGGAGACCATATTGTGAGCAGTAAATACAGTAGACTAGATTGAAAGAAGTACAAGTGAAATGCTACATCACCTGGAAGATGTATTTGGGCCGTTGGACAGTGAGGAGGGAGGGAGTAAAGGAGCAGGTCTTACACCTTCTGTGATGGCATGGGAAGGTGCCATATCATTGAGGAAGTCTTTGAAGTGATGGAGGAGTGAACCAGGATACCGTGAAGGGAACTGTCCCTGCAGAATGCTGACAATAGAGGGTTGGGAAGCTGTATTTGTGGAGATATCCTGCTGGAGGTGGCGAGGAATGGTACAGTTCTTCATGCTGCTTGTGCATTCAGCAGCCTGATTGTTTATTCTACAATCTGGATCCCATTCGAGGTATGAGAGTGCACTGCCCGCCGACCACACTACACTATACAGTTGTATCTTAGTATATCAGGTAGCTAAATGTGTGTGACCTACTGGAGAAGGTAATTCTTTTGCTGTTTGTTTTTATTTAAGGCTCTTAGTTATCAAGTTTCAAATGGTAAAGCAGCAACAGCTTGATTTATTATATCTTGAAACATCTTATCATGCAGCCTAGAAACTAACCTAACCTAAAAACTCGAGCTTGCAGACTAACTGCTGCAAGCATTGATACTTTCAGTAATATGTACAAGACACTTCTGCTGGATTACTGCACTTGGAAGGTTGATATACAACTTGCAAAAAATTGCATATTAGCATCAATACCTATGTAGATTGACAGGGTATTGGCCATTTATTTTACTTGGCACAGGGCTGTAGAGTAAGTAATTGCTCAGAACAGTGTCCAAGGATATAAGTGATGTTTCTATCAGAGGACTGTGCCATCTCAGGCTATTTTCCTGACAACAGGACAGTGAGATAGACAAATTCACAATCTTTGACAAGTTCTGTTTTTTTCTATTTTTTAAACACCAGGAGCTTGGAACAAGTATAGGTCATTAAATTAGGCCATGAACGATGTGCACCTTAACTCCAACTTACCCATCTTGGTTTCATATCCTCTAATATCTAACAAAAGGCTATCAAATTTAAAATGTTCAGTTGAACCCTAGCACTAACCTCTTACCATCAACAACCTTTTGTAATGTGTGATTTAGACTTACATTATGCTTTGTGTGGATATGTGTTTCTGCATACATTCTGCTTAACATATTAGCGTGTCAGTTTTAAAGTTACACCTCCTCTTTGCTATCTGTTTGCCAGTTCTGTGAGTCCCAATAACCATCTGATGTCTCACCCATTAATCATGTTGTTCAAAACCAGAATTCCATTACAGCAAAGTCCAGCCATTTACATATGGCACCAGAGCATAATTTTAACTGCATGCATTTATATTTATCCTTTAAATCAAATGAATGAAGCTGTCTGAATCAGAAATGTTTTGTGTACAATGCATAGCTATTTGTTAGCTGTTAGTTGAGAAAGTGAATATGCCTGTAATCTCCATGGCTGAGAACTCTTTACCCGTCTCTGGTTTTATAGTAAGACAGCAAGGACCAGTTGTCAGAGAAGCTCTGAATGAATGAGGGAACTGATGAGGTGAGTGTCACAGAATTGATACAGCACAGAAGGAGACAATTTGGTCCATTGTGCCTGAACCAGCTCTTCAAATGCACATTGTTACTTAGTGCCAATCTCCTGCCTTTCCCACATAGCCTTGCACACTATTTCTATCCAAATAATCATCAAATGCACCCCTGAATGCCTGAATTGAATTGCCTCCACCATTTTTCCAAGCAGTGCGTTCCATACCTTATCTACTTGCTGTGTGGAAAAAGGTTTTTTTTCTCACATCTCCTTTGCTTCTTTTTCATATTACTTTATATATATGCCCTCTTGTTCTTTTTTTACGGGCAGGAACAGCTTCCCCCTATCTATCCAGTCCACTCATGATTTTGAAAACGTCTATCAAGTCACTTCTTAATTTTCTTGTCTCCGAGGTCAATAGTCGCAACGCCTTCAATTTATCCTCATCACTGAAGTTTCCCATTCCTGGATCCAAACTTGTAAATTGTTCCTGCATTCTCTCCAATGCTTTCACATCCTACCCATACCTGAGTGTCTTGGAATCTGTACAATTTCTATGTTCTCTTCTCTTTGGATGTGCCCAACCCTGTGAAGGAAAGAGTGGGGACAGAGGAGAGCAGGGAGAACTTTCATGGAAGAGATTGTGAAACCAAAAAGTGGTAAATTACAATGAATAAAGTGAAGGATCTTTTTCTTATATGAGCAAATTACTGCAGATGCTGGAATGTGTACTGAAAACAAAAATTGCTGGAGATCACAGTGGTTCAGGCAGCATCCATGGAGAGAGAGCAAGCTGGAATTTCAGATCTAGATGACTTCATTAGAGCTAAAGTGTGGAGGGGACAGCATTTATTCAATAGTGGGTCAGGTAGGGGGTTGGAGTGCTGGGGGAGAAATGATGTTGATAGTTCAGATTAAGCAATTGGAATGTGAGAATGGCAGAATAACGCTGTGTCTAATTGTCAAACTGGAAAGAACAGACATTCCCACTGGGGTGGGAAGAGGGGGAAGAGGACATGGTGACAAAGAATGCAATAAGTAAAGCTAAAAGAAAGGGAAGGAATGGGAGTGGGTTCACAATCTGAGGGTGCTGAGCTCAGTATTAAGTCCAGAACATTGTAAAGTGCCTAGTCTGAAGATGAGATGTTGTTCCTCCAGTTTGCACTGTGATTCGCTGGAGCACTGCAGCATGCTGAGGGCAGACAAGTGGGCATGTGAGCAGAACGCTGTGTTAAAATAACCGGTTTTGGGAAGGTTGGGGTCCTGCTTGCACACAGACCTGAGGTGTTCTGCAAAGCAGTCACTCAGTCTGTGTTTGGTTTCTCCAATCTAGACTAGGCCACATTTGGTGCAATGAATGCAATACACAAGATTAGAGGAGGTACAGGTGAAATGCTGCTTCAACCAGAAACACTGTTTAGGCCCTTAGCTGGTGAGCAGGGAGGAGGTGAAGGGGCAGGTGTTGCAGCTTCTGTGATTACATGGGAAGGGAGGGGGATGATGTTGATGGTCGGGGAATGGACTAGGGTGTCCCGGAGGGAACGATCCCTGTGAAATGTAGATGGGGGAGTGAGGGGATGATGTGTTTGGTGATGGCATTCTGCTGGAGTTGTCTGAAATGGCAGGAATGTGGGCTTTGCTGGTAAGGCCAGCATTTATTATGCATCCTGTGTTTTCCAGAGATGAGGCTGTTGTCTCCTTTTCTGTAGTAATTTATGATTGAGTCGCTTACTAGGGCATTCAGAAAACAATTCAGAGTCAACTTTATTGAAGTGGACTGAAATCACAATTAAGTTTAGCTCGGTAAGAGAAAATTATTTCCTGCTTCAGAGGTCATGGGCAGCACGTAGTACACTTGTTAGCACTGCTGCCTCACAGCACCAGGGAGTCAATTTCAATTCCAGCCCTTGGTGACTCCCTGTATGAGTTTGCACTTTCTCCCTGCATCTGCGTGGGTTTCCACTGAGCGATCTGATTTACTCCCATAGACCAAAGATATGCACGTTAAGTGGATTGGCCATGCTAATTGCCCTGTAGTGTCCAGGGCTGTGCAGGCTGGGTGGATTAGCCATGGTAAATGCAGGGTTACGGGGATAGGGTGAGGATTGGGAATGGGTGGAATGCTCTTCGGAGGCTTGGTGCAGGCTTGATGGCCGAATGGCCTCTTTAGGCACTGTATGGATTCTATGATTAGTGAACCAGCTGATTTTGTTTTAAGACAATCCAATAGCTTCATGGTAATTTTTACAGTTATCAGGTCTATAACATAAGATTTTTAAGCTCAATTCAAATTCTCAAAGTGCTGTGATAGGGTTGAGTTTACAATTCTCACATACTAATTTAGAAAGATTGTCACTATGTTACCTTCCCAGAATACCTAAATGTTAGTTAGGGATGTAATTTTAAATGAATATGAGACAGTGCTGTTATCAGGAGGGCTTGAAGGTTCTGGGGCTGGTATGTTGACCTTTTATTTAAGATGTCAAGTTGCAGGAACAGCCAAATCCAAAGGATTGATATTACTACTTTGTTGACTGTTGCTGTCTTAAGTAAGTTAATTTATAGTGGTTTTAATCCCATTAGTCATTGACTTAGCTGTTCAGGGCAAGGTTTTAATATGAAATTTTAATTTTAATACAAGGTTTTTAATCACAGACTGTTTCAATATTATTCCAGTCAGTGGGGCATCTGTTGTTCTCTGTAACTCCATTCACCATTTCTGGATCAAATTCATAAGCTATGCAGATCACAAGGTAATGCAGAGAATGAAACGAATTATAACACTTTTTCAAAGAGCCAGCACAAGCACAATAGACCATATGGCTTGTATTTTGTAACCTATGGGTTTCCTAATCAGTATCGCCTCCTTCTTCTGAAATTTGCTGCGCTCTTAAGGGGACCATTCATTTCTAAAAAGATTGTAGAATTCCTATACTGTGGAAACAGGCCCTTCAGCCCAACTGGTCTGCACCGACCCTCAGAGCATCCCACCCAGGCCCATCCCCCAATAACCAACCTAATCTACACATCCCTGAACACTACGGGTAATTTAGCATGGCCAGTCCACCTAGCCTGCACATCTTTGGACTGTAGGACAAAACTAGAGCACCCAGAGGAAACCCACGCAAACATGGGGAGAATGTGCAAACTGCACACAGACAGTCGCCCGAGGGTGGAATCAAACCTGGGTCCCTAGTGCTGTGAGGCAGCAGTGCTAACCACTGAGCCACCATGCCACCCCTAGTTGTTAACTGAAAGAATTATCCCACAAGGTGTCACATTTTAACAAAAGCTTTTACTGTGTAAGAGAGTTAAGCAAAGAAAGTACTATGAATTTAACGTTATGTATTTCATAAAAGTTCTTTTTAAGTCTGAAAGTCTCAACAGTATGTTATTTATTCTACTGTTATTTCCATCCAGGAGCTCTCCTGTGCTTTGCGGGATCTTGAGGATTCCTTCACTTCACCTGGGATTAAATAAAGGTGTGCCACCGCTCTCAGAAATTCTCTTTGATTGCCCTCAGTGTTCCCACTGTTTGCTGCACTGGGATATTTGTGGCATCCTTCCGGTAGCATTCAGCTAAGCAACCCTTCAACACCTAACGATTGAGAACATCCCAGCCCAAGCATGGGCTTGTTCGCTTCCTTGCTCAATGACTCCAAAATCTGACATTCTTTGGTTCTGATCGACCTTTTTGCTTCTGATCGATAGTGCCTGACAAATTCACTCTTTGTGCTTCAAAGCTATTCCCAGACTACAACATAACTGCTGCAGTCATCTTCTCTCTCTGCCTGTTTGCAAGCTGTTCTAGTTCCACACATAAATTGCCTGGATTCTGTGAAAAATTACACACATGAACCCAAAATCAAAGGGTAGTTTCTGGAAACCTATGCATAAAACATAGAAATACACAAACAGGTGTAGAGGTTGACCATTCTGCCCTTCAAGCCTGCTGTACCATTCAGTTTCATCATGTCTGATCCTTTACCTCAATGCCATATTCCCACTTTCCCATACGCCTTGATGCCTTTAAAATCTAAAGGTTTATCTTTCAGTGATTTGTCCTTCACAGCCTTCGGTGCTGGAGAATTCCACGCGTTCACTGCCTTTTGAGTGGAGGCATTTTTCCTCATCTCAGTCCTAAATGGTCTATTCTGTATCTTGAGACTGTATCTCCAGGTTCTAGACTCCCCATGGAAAACATCCTCCTTGCATCTAGTCTGTCGAGCCCTGTTAGAATTTTAGCTGTTTTTATTAGAGCCACTCTAGTGAGTACAAGTCCAGTTGATTCCATCTCTCCCCATAGGATATCCTGCTAATTGTGCTTTGTAGCACCTTTAACTGTTCCTGGTGCTGCATACAGCCATACAGGGTCAAAAAATGATCAGCTTTCTTTGAATTTTCCTTATTCAGTGCTTGATACAAGCTTTGGACTTATAGATCAAGATTACCATTCATTACAGTTTCTAAGCTCTGAATATAAGTGAAACTTGGTGGCCTTTGATGGAGCTGTGCTGAAATTGGTAGACTTTTATTAGACAAAGCTGTTAAGGATTACAGAATCAATGTGGGTAAATGGAATTAATGTGTATCAGCCAAGATGTAATTGAACATCAAAGTAGCTGCATGACATATTCCAGTCCTGTGCTTCTGTGGCTGAGCAATTGACTAGTCAGTAAACACCATTTTCATTTTCAAAAGCTGCATCAGATATTATTGATGTAAGTTTTTGAGTAATTGTGACCTTTATGTACGAAGGTGAGTACACCTGCTTGTCATCCAATTTTACTGGAGTTTAATTAACAATTTTTGTTTATCACCACGTTGAATCAGATCCCATTCCCAAGGACCACAATAAGCTATTTCTAGTTATAGTCATTATATTATGCTTCTAGGCCTTACATCTGCTGACTACTCTCCACAGACATCAATCAGATCAATGCGCCACTTCTTCTGAAATCTTTCTTTCTCACTCTCCCTCTCTTTCTCTTTCACCCTCAATCTCTCTCTAAGATTGGCATGGCAACCACTGAAGAACAGGAGAGGATTCCATGGGATGGCATTCACATGGCGTCAGGGATGGTAATCGGAAGTGATGGCAAAACAAAATACAGGCTGAAGAGCAGGGATTTTCCCAGAAGACATGGGAAACCCTGGAATGTGAATGGAATGATCCTCTGCATTTCCTCAGAATCTAGTGCCAGAAAAGAACTGAAAAGGACAGCAGGTATAGATCACACCTGCAGCTATAGCCCAGGAAAGATATGCAGGGCTGTCAGATCCAAAAAGAGGTGATAGATATAAATAGAAAGTTGAAAGAAAGTAATTCTCCTGATCCTTCGCAGTGAGTAAGTAATACTTCTGGTACAATTATAAAATCATGCAGCACAGGAAACCATTCAGCCCTTTGTATCTGTGTTCTCTGAAAGAGCATTTAATTCCCTTGCTCTTCCCCATAGCCCTTTCCAGATATTTATCTCGTTCTCTTTGGAAGTTATTATTAAATATGTTTCCACCAGCCTTTCAACATTCCAATCTACAACTTACTGTGTAAAAAAAAATTCTGCTTTTCTCCACTTTTAGCAGTCCTCTTCATACAGTCATTTGGTCATATAGAAGTTGAGTTTTGTTGAAAATAGATACATTTTCTCTTGCACTCATCAAAAACACACAGGAAATACCAAACGACAAGGGGAGAAATGACATTTACACTGTATCAGAGGAAAGTGTGGATTTGTTGCCAAGATATTAGATGCCTCTACCAATCAGTGTCCAGTCGCTAACCAGTTAGCCTTTCATACGACCATAACATGTAGGAGTAGAAGCAGGACATTCAGCCCATCAAGCCTGCTCTACCATTCGGTGAGATCATGCTAATATTCAATTCCAAGTTCCTGCCTTTTGCCTATGATGCTTGATTCCTTTACTGATTTAAATACCTGTCGACCTCAGCCTTAATGACCCAGCCCCTACCTTACTCTCAGGTAAAGAATTCCATAGATTCACTACCTCTGAGAGAAGAAAGTACTTCTCATCTCTGTCTTAAATTTGCAACCTCATATTCTGAGATTATGCCCTCTGGTTCTAGACTCTCGCACAAAGGAAAACAATCTTTTCACATCGACCTTGTCAAGACCGCCAACAATCTTGTATGTTTCGATAGGGTCACCTTTCATTCTTCTAAACTCCAATTAGTATAGGTCCAAACTACTCAATCTCTCATAACAAGACACTCCTTCCATACCTATCAGCCTAGCGATCGTTCTCTGGACTGCCTTCAATATATCTTTCCTTAGACAAGGGGCCCAAAGCTGATCACAGTATAAATGCTGTTCTCCCTTTATGTTGGTGCTTATTATGGATTGTCCTGATGAGTACAATTGAAAACCTTTGACAAAATGTCGCTTTTTTTCCAGCAATGCTCAAATTCTCTTCATGATGAGAGACATAGAACATAGAACATTACTGCGCAGTACAGGCCCTTCAGCCCTCGATGTTGTGCCGACCTGTGAAACCAATCTGAAGCCCATCTAACCTAAACTATTCCATTATCATCCATATGTTTATCCAATGACCATTTAAATGCCCTTAAAGTTGGCGAGTCTACTACTTTTGCAGGCAGGGCATTCCAAGCCCTTACTACTCTCTGAGTAAAGAACCTACCTCTGACGTCTGTCCTATATCTATCACCCCTCAATTTAAAGCTATGTCCCCTCGTGCTAGCCATCACCATCCGAGGAAAAAGGCTCCCACTGTCCACCCTATCTAATCCTCTGATGATCTTGTATGTTTCTATCAAGTCACCTCTTAACCTTCTTCTCTCTAACGAAAACAGCCTCAAGACCCTCAGCCTTTCCTCATAAGACCTTCCCTCCATACCAGGCAACATCCTGGTAAATCTCCTCTGCACCCTTTCCAATGCTTCCACATCCTTCCTATAATGCGGTGACCAGAACTGTACGCAATACTCCAAGTGCGGCCGCACCAGAGTTTTGTACAGCTGCAACATGACCTCATGGCTCCGAAACTCAATCCCTCTACCAATAAAACCTAACAACGCTATCAACCGGGGTGGCAACTTTCGGTGATCTGGAACGTCCCAGATTCAGCTTGAGTTAGCTCACCTTAGCTGGGTTGTGATGAATTCCCAGTCCCCTGAGCCAAAGCAGTCACCTTTCCTGCCCACTGAGTTCAGATGGAAGCTGCTGGTGTGAGGAAGGGATGGGGTCAGACTGTGACCTGCCCTACTGCCTTCACTGTCTAAGTTCATACTCAAAACAATTTGCTGCTTACCTGGGCTGCTGAAGCCACCCCAGCGCTGCAAGTAAATTATGATGCTGAAATAATGAAAAGCTTGATGACTTGAGATCTCAATGACCCTGACAGTAACTCATTAGTAGGATTTACTTTTAAATCAAATCAGCTGTTGACATCTGCTTGTCTTTGCATTCAGTATTCATGACCTTGCAGTGGTACAGTGTGAAGAGAGGACACAAGAATGGGAAAAGTGTATTTGGTGCTAGTAATTAAGGCTGACCTTCTGTTTCAGGTTAATCCTGCAGTATCCAGTCCAATGAAGAATGACCAGTCCTGCAGGTAGAGAAATCATCACCCGATAGCACACAACCCCTTATCCACAACATAAGCAAGAGCACATTCCTCTCCCCTTTCGGTGGATGAATGCCTTGTGTAAACATTTAATTAAAGTACTCAAACTGTGAAGAGACTTTCTTACATTCAATGCCTCTGTTGACTGCTCAACTGAACTTGTACTATAGTTTTACTAATAAATGTTTTTTTGACAAATATTGTGTGTTTGTTACTCATATTGCAGTTGATTGCATTCCAAATCTGCCAGAACCCTACAATATTATTTGTAAGGCATCAACATTGAGAAATGATTTTTAGATTTGGTGGAGGTGACTGAGATAGAGAAATTCAGCTAGCAAACTCAGTTCAAGTTGGGACGGAGTGTGTGCATTTGTTGGATAAGAGAATCTAAATCTTTAATTTGTAAAAACATAAGTTAGTTTGTAGTTGGCATTAAACTGAGATTGATTGTTTAACTTCTGAATGTGCGAGCCATAAGTGTGTTTTTTTCCCCAAAGCTTGCATTGAAAGAACAGATTCATCAAGAACCAGCCAAAACTGGATCTTCATTAAATCACTCAGATTGACCCTATGTGATGGAAACATATAGAAGTAGTCAACTTAAAGTGACTAAGTACTGAAGTGTAGAACATAGAACAGTACAGCACAGTACAGGTCCTTCGGCCCACGATGTTGTGCCAACCTATTATCCTACTCTAAGATCAAACTACCCTGCATACCCTACACTTTACTCTCACCCATGTGCCTATCCAAGAGTTGCTTAAATGTCCCTAATGTATCTGACTCCACTACCATCACCGGCAGCACATTCCACCCACCCACTCTCTGTGTAAAGAACCTATCTCTGACATCTCCCCTGTACATTCCTCCAATCACCTTAAAATTATGCCCTCTCCTAATACTCATTTCTGCCCTGGGAAAAAGTCTCTGGGTATCCACTCTATCTATGCCTGTCATCATCTTGTACACCTCCACCAAGTCACCTCTCATCCTTCTTCGCTCCAATGAGAAAAGACCTAGCTCCCTCAACCTTTCCTCATAAGACCTGCCCTCCAGTCCAGGCAGCATCATGGTAAATCTCCTCTGCACCCTCTCTAAAGCTTCTACATCATTCCTATAATGAGGCAACCAGAACTGAACACAATATTCCAAGTATGGTCTAACCAGGGGTTTACAGAGCTGCAGCATAACCTCGCGGCTCTTAAACTCAATTCCCCTGCCAATGAAAGCCAAAACACCGTATGGCTTCTTGACAACCCTATCAACTTGGGTAGCAACTTTGAGGGATCTATGGACGTGGGCCCCAAGATCCCTCTGTTCCTCCACACTGCCAAGAATCCTGCCATTAACCCTGTATTCTGCATTCAAATTCGACCTTCCAAAATGAATCACTTCACACTTTTCCGGGTTGAATTCCATCTGCCACTTCTTTGCCCAGCTCTGCATCCTGTCAATGTCCCGTTGCAACCTACAGCAGCCCTCCACTATCCACAACTCCACCAACCTTCATGTCATCGGCAAACTTACTAAACCACCCTTCTACTTCCTCATCCAAGTCATTTATAAAGATCACAAAGAGCAGAGGTTCCAGAATAGACCCCTGTGGAACATCACTGGTTACTGACCTCCAGGCTGAATACTTTCCATTTACTACTACCGTCTGTCTTCTATTGGACAACCTACCATAGCTTACTATAAAGTTCTGGAGAAGAGAGGTATTTGGTTGCTTTTGTCTAAATAAAGCAGCTAATTGGTAAGTACTTTTAGTAGTGCAAGAAAAGTCTTTAGTTCGTGTTTAGACGTCTAGCCTTTTGTGCCTCTGTTCTTAAATATAGCTTGTTAGATATAAGATTGATACTGGTGTAAAAAAATCTTACAATAAATGGTAAAGTGTAGGGAAACTAGAGTGAGGGAAGAGGACTATGATAGACTTGAACAAAGTGCAATTGAGAGGGTGGAGGTATTAGCGGTTTTAATGGGCTTAAAATTTGGCTTGGAGACCGAAGGTGATGGTTGACGGGTGGTTTTGTGACTTGATGACTGGACATATCCAGTGGCATAAGACCATATGACATAGGAGCAGAAGTAGGCATTTTGGCCCATGGCGTCTGCTCCACCATTCAGCGAGATCATGGCTGATCCAATAATCCTCAACTTCACTTTCCTGCCTTTTCCTCATAACCCTAGATTCCCTTACTAATTAAAAATCTATCTCCATCTTGAATATAATGAGCCAGCTTAGACAGCCCTCTGTGGTAAGAACTCCATTGATTCACCAACCTCTGAGAGTACAAATTCCTCCTCATCTCTGTCTTAAGTGAGCAACCCCTTCTTCTGCAATTATGCCATTTGGTCCCAGGCTGTTCCAAAAGGGGGAACAGTCTCTCCACATCTATTCCATCAGCTCCCTAAGAAATTTGCATGATTCAACAAGCATAGTCTGTCATTCTTTTAAATACCAGTGAGTACAAGCCTAACCTACTCAACTGCTCCTCATAAAATGTGTATGATCCAGACAAAAATGTAGGATCAGTAAGTTGACAAATGACATGAATGTTGGTGGTGTTGTAAATAATGAAGAGGCAAGCCTTAAACAACAGGACAATATAGACAGGTTGGTTAGATGGGCACAACAGATGGAAAGGTGGGTTCTGATTGTCATGCAGACAGTTTACAGGGCAATATTGATAGGTTAAGTGGACAAGAAGTTGGCAAATGGAATATAATGTGAGAAAATTTGAACTTGTTTATTTTGGAAAGGAGAACAAAAGAATGATATTATTTTTATGGAGAAAAACTGCAGAAAGCTGCAACACAAAGGGACTTGCTGATACTTGTGAAAGAAACCCAGAAAGCTAGCAAACAAGGGCAGCAGATAATCAGGAAGGCTAATGGAATGTTGGTCCTTATTTCAAGGGGCTTGCAGTATAAGAGTAAGGAAGTCTTCCAGCAACTATACAAGGTGCTGGTAAGGCCATGTGGAGTACTGTGAGCAGTTTTGATTCCTTTATTTAAGGAAAGATATCATGTCATAAGACCATAAGATGTAGGAGCAGAATTAGGCCATTCGGCCCATTGATTCTGCTCCACCATTCAATCATGGCTGATATATTTCTTAACCCCATTCTCCTGCCTTCTCCCCATAACTCTTGATCCCATTGGAGGCAAATCAGAGAAGGTTCACTAGAATGCAGCCCGGTATGGTAGGATTGTCTTATGAGCAAAGGCTAAACAGGTTGGGACTCTACTTCACTGGAATTTAGAAGAACGAGAGGTGATCTCATTGAAACATAAGTGTTTCTAAAGGAGTTTGACAGGAAAAATGCTGAGAGTTTGGGACTACAGGGTATAGTTTCAGAATAAAGGGTTACCAATTTAAGACTGAAATGAGGAGAGGTTTCTTTTCTGAGAGTTGTGAGTGTATGGAATGCTTAGCCACAGACATTCAAGGGTATGTCCTGTGGGAATCCAAGAGGTAGCATTTGCAGAACCTTGGCCCCTTCAATTGACCAACATTTACAACGTTCTTGCAAGCTAAATGGATGAGTGAATTGACCATAGCACCTTCATACAGGGAGTTATTCATCGGTTATTCACACCTGAACCATCCCCACCCACCACCACCCTCCTCCACTTGGCTGAGCTTTACCTCACCCTCAACAACTTCTCTTTCAACTCCTCTCATTTTCTTCAGGTAAGAGGGGTTGCCATGGGTACCCGCATGGGCCCTAATTATGCCTGTCTCTTCTTGGGGTACGTGGAACATTCCTTGTTCCAGTCCTATTCCGGCCCCCACCCACAACTCTTTCTCCGATAAGTCGATGATATCATCAGTGCTGCTTCCCTCTCTCGTCTAGAATTGGAAAACTTCATCAATTTCGCCTCCAATTTCCACCCTGCCCTCACTTTCACCTGGTCTATCTCTGACTCCTTCCTTCCCTTCCTCGACATTTCTGTTTCCATTTCTGGGGATAGGCTGGCCACTAATATCCATTACAAACCCACCGACTCCCACAGCTACCTGGACTATACATCCTCACACCCCACTTCCTGTAAAGACTCCATCCCATTTTCTCAGTTCCTCCATATCAGTCGCATATGTTCAGATGAGGCCATCTTCGACAAGGGAGCCTCCGAAATGTCCACATTCTTCCTCAACCGAGGATTCCCCAGCTCCGTTGTCAACAGGGCCCTCAATCGGGTCTGACCCATCTCCTGCAATTCTGCCCTCACCCCTTCTCTTCCCTCCCGCAACAGCGATAGGGTTCCCCTTATCCTCACCTACCATCCCACCAGCATCCACATCCAGAAGATCATCAGACACCAATTCCCCCACCTCCAGCAAGATGCCACCACCAGACACATATTCCCCTCCCCTCCCTTGTCCGCCTTCCGCAGGGACCATTCCCTCCGGGACACCCTGGTCCACACTTCCTTCACCCCCAACACCTCCCCACAGCCCTACGGCACCTTCCCCTGTAACCGGCAAAGGTGCAACACCTGCCCATTTACCTCCTCCCTCCCCAGAATCCAAGGACCCAAACATTTCACCTGCACTTCCAAGAATCTAGTCTACTGCATTCGCTGCTCACAATGTGGTCTCCTCTACATTGGGGAAACGAAGCGTAGACTTGGCGACCGCTTTGCAGAACATCTACGTTCTGCTCGCAAAAAAGACCCTGAACTACCTGTTGCCTGCCACTTCAATGTACCACCCTGCTCCCTGGCCAACATCTGTGTCTCTGGCTTGCTACAGTGTTCCAGTGAAGCCCAACGCAAGCTGGAGGAACAACACCTCATTTTCCACTTGGGGACCCTACAGCCTTCCGGACTCAATATTGAGTTCAATAATTTTAGAGCCTAAACCCTCCCATGTCCCAGCCCCCACCCCACACACCAGGCCTTGTTACCACATAGTCTGCCACTACACACCCCCTGTTGTTAGTCACTAACAGTCCCCATTAACAACTACTCACCCTCCCAGCCTGATCGTTAGCAACTCCTTTGTCTGTCCAACTGTCTTTCTCTCTCTTTGGGCTCTATCCTATCGTTTACTCCCTACTCCACCCATCTCCCTATTTTCTGCATATAAACTGACGTTTTCCCAGCCACCATCAGTTCTGAGGAAGGGTCACCGGACCC